TCTAAATATACTAACCTGAAAGTGCGGTACGAATAGTATTTTTTCCACCTGACCAACAAAATTTTTGAGGTATATGAGTCGGTTGTTCAAAATATAAAATATCATTTACAAGTTCATAATCTCCCGTTTCAATAAGAACACTCATTAAATCAAAACGAATATCTAATAATCTCCAATCAGTTGGATGCAATCTAATAAATCTCAATATTATTTTTCGTGTTTGCTTAATAATATAACTAAATTTTAATTTTCTATCCTTGTTAAGAAACTGTTCAAGTTTTTTATAAGCAGAGAAGTATTTAAGTGCATAACAAGCATATTTGGCTACATTCATAAAATCTCCCTCATCTTCCATTTTAATTTCATCTTCAATTTCAATTGGAGGAGGAACTTCACCATTAATTTGGATGCTTAGCTTGAATTTTCCGATGCAATACTTGAAATCTATTACTTTTATCACTTGAAGATCTAATTTTCTTATTTCAAGATCAAAAATATTTTGCAAGTGCGATAAAGGCACATGAATGAATTCAAGAGATCTCTTTTTTTTAAGACCATGATCATACTTGTGCCAAACTTGAATTGTATGGCTTCCAATTAAAAGTAGCTTTGTTTTTTCCTCATCGAGATAGAACGAGTACCGTGGACGTCCAGAAAATCCAAAGGATTCGGTTGACCAGGGTTCAATTATCTCATAATTCTTATCTAATTGTTCCAATTTTAATTTTTTATGGGGAGCTATATCTAATGCTTCTAATGTTATGTTTTTATAAGATGCTTGGATATTTTTTTTCGAATAATATTCATTTAATTTTTTTATTGATTCTTCATCATGAAGATCTAATATGTGATTATATAAATTTTGCATAGAAAAGTATTCTATTGGTAGTTTCTTCCAATCTTGTTTACCATTTTTCTTTAAATATTTCAAATATTTATATATAATCTGATCATCATAAATAACAAGTTCGCTACCCATATCAACGATTATGGATGAATTTGATCGTTGTACTTTATAAGGATCTCCAAATTTTTTGGCTAATGGAAGTTCCACCGTAAACCCTGGATTCCCTAATTTAACAGAATCTCGTAATGAGCCGAAAATATTCCAGACAAACCATTCATCTTTTGAATGATATATGAGTAACATCTCATCAAAAAAATCGATAAATATTTGTCCAAATGCGTCCTTCATATTTATAATTTCTTCAAGCTTCGCTATTTCAATACCACATTCGATCGAATATATTATGATTTCTTTAGTGGATGATGGTACATATGCTAAAAATCTGTTATCATCTGATATCGCGTATGATAAAGTAGAAAGATCTAACAAGGCTGATTCATCAAACTTATGTCTCTTAAAATATTTACTAATTGGTTTGTCTTTAAATCATAAAGTTCCATGTAATCGATGCCTTCTTTAATAGTATCAACCAAAAAATAATGTTTATGTAAGCAGTTTTCAATATATGCGCATATAGAATTATATGCAACATAACATGCTTTATCAAAATTATAATCATCAAAACGCGCATTTATATTATTAATGATTGCGTTGTATATTCTTCTTGGATATTTTAATTTTTGTAAGTTTTTACCATTAATAGATTTGTCCTTTATATGATACTTGTAGATCCCTGAAAGTGCTAAGATAATAAGGAAATGTTCATCAGCGTTTTGACAAGAAAATAATTCAACTATCCCACCACATTCAATTGATAAATTTTCTTCATCAATATTACTAATTGAATATTCATCATCAATAATAAAAACAAACGTAAATCCATTATTTTTGGTTTCTACAAGGTGTATTTCACTAGAACTTTTCTTATAATATTTCATATCTTCCAGGTTAATACAAGATATTGCTAATATTCTAAATTCCGGTAGACTAGTTGATTTATCTGATACGGCAACAGACCACCTTAATTTGTTTGTACATTTATTCCTAATTAAATCAGTAAATTCAAAGGTGGTATAAATCTTAGAAAGTTTTCTTGACGATGATATCTGGTCATCTGCATCTTTATTATCCAAAATTTGAACAATATAAATTTGTAATTTAAATTCTAATTAAATGAAAATTTTAAAAGTTATTAATAATACAAATAATTTAATTAAAGTTAACTTCAAAATTTAAGGACCACCCTAAAAATTTCTCCAGAATTCCGGGATACATTATTTTTCATTTGTAGTAAAATATACTAATAAAAGTCGACTTGACTAAGGGTGTTCTCAAACACCTCGCTCAATGGATCGGAGACAAAATTTTAATTAGTCGGAATTGAATGAATTAACCAAGT